GCTCACAGAGGGCGCCAAGAAGGCGGAAAAAGATCCTTTCTGAAGTCAAGTCTAATTAGCGGCGGGCTGTTTGACAAAGTCCAGATGAGAGAAGGCCAAGATGGTCATTTTTCGTACAAAAAAAAAAAAAAAGGAAAAATTAGATTTTGTTTTTTAGAACAAGAACGATATAAGCCCGCCCCTGATTGATTGCAGGAAACGCCCAATCAGGATCTCATTAGCCGAAAACGGTCACGTGGCTGCAGAAAAGAAAAGAAAGAAATGCTCAACCAGAATCCCATTAGCCGAAAACGGTCACGTGGCTGCGGAAAAGAAAAGAAAGAAATGCTCGATCAGAATCTCATTAGTCGAAAGCGGTCACCTGACATACGAGAGACCGAGAGAGATGGATATGCGCCTCCCCACCAAAAGCACTATGAGGAAGTAGGGGTGAAAACAATAGCGATAATGGGGAAACAGAATTAATGCGGCTATTGGAATTATCGAAAAACCCTGACGCCGACAGACCCACCCCAGTTTGTTGCGGCGTCAATATAAGCAGGACCCCAGTCGACAGAAATCAGTAGAGTTGGAGTTGAGTTGGAGTTGGAGTAGAGTTGCAGCTGGACCGCAGGCAGGGATAGAGCCTGAACGCGGGCATCAGGCCCGATTCACTCGCCCCTTTGCGGGCAAGAGAATCCTCAGACAAGAAATCCTTCCACCCAAGTCGAAGACAAGAGAACTTCCAGCCCAAGCAGACGAAGAAGGAGATTGCTCGAAGGACGCCAAGAGTTGTGGCAGAGTTACGGAAGAGTTCAGCCCCGGACAGCAGTGAGAAGAGACCACCTCAGACGACAGAGAGTTGCGGCTAAGTTGAAACAAGAAATCTTCCACCAAGTTGAAACAGGAAAACTACCAGCCCAAGCAGACGAAGAAGAAGAAATACAACTCAAGTGGGAGAGAAGAATCAACTGCGAATGATCGATAGAAATTAGCCCCAGTGTCGAACTGAACCACACTCCGACATACATACATGATTCTAGAAAGTAGGTAATTCGACATTTTTCTATTGTGTGATAGAAGCTTGGTGCCATAGTCCACAGAGCGGGTCGGGAATTGAGAACAATTTTGTTTTTTATGTAACGGACATTAAGATATAAAAGGTTGTTACCCTTTTTATCAGCAATTTTGTTTAGTGTCGTGAGTTTTTGTTTTATTTGTGTTTTGCCACCCCCGTCGGACTCAACTTGTATCGGCCCAAATCCCTGCTGGTCCCGTCTGTCTAAGATCTAAACACAGCGTGGGTAGACAGACCGGAGATCGGTATAGTTGCTTTAGTGACCAAGTATTGGAAGCGAGTCGGGAAAGGCGAGGCTGGTGATCATCTGACCAAAGGGTTGGAGCGGCACGCTTGGACCCAGGAGGAGCGACCAGGAGGAGCGACGTCACCGTTGGCGCCGTAACCAAAGGATCCGACACTGGGCCAGGTGTGTAACCGTCACACACCATCATAAAGACTGAAAAATAAAATTGACAAAGATTATTGTTTAAGGTTGACGGACACGCATGTCTTAATCAGTTTTTTTTTTTTTACGAATTGGTCAAACCCAAACTCAAACAAAAACATTGTTTTCAATCGTTATGAGTCTACCGATTGAATAGAATTTTATAAACAATTGTCTTGTAAATGGAATTTTCAAAGCATTCTGAATGTTAAAAATAAAGAAAAAAGTGTGCAAGAGAATAAGAAACACTACCTGCCAAAAAAAAAGTGAAGTTTTGTTTTATCGGCTGAAAAATATAGGAAATCCGCTCCCATATTTAAAAGAACCCACACACACAAACAATCCGATGTGAGTTGCCCCCCTTCCATTTTCACGATGTCTCTTAATCGTGTTTTCAAATTGATTTTGTGCAAAATCAATTATATTTTTCCCATTTTTGGCGCTGTTAGAACCACCACAAGGTAATTTTATGTAGTCCTGTGAAGTTTTGTTGAAATCGGTTGAAAAATGTAGGAAATCCGATCCAATATATAAACGTTACAGACACACACACACACAATCTGCGTTTTATAATAAGTAAGATTTCGGTAACCACCTGTGTTCCTTATTGACAACATATGTTTTTCTATTTTCGATGATACATTAATTGTCTCTTTCTTATTGGCAGGAATTGGGAAAGGACGGGTAGTTTTGGTTTTGCCCAATCTTACTGAATTCCTTCTAGTTAAATTGGGGTTCGATTTTCCATGGAACTTTTCGGGATTTCATTTTATTATTTTGAAACAATTTTTCAACGCATTTTGTTTTTAATTTTCTTCTCAACTTTTAAATCCATTTTCCTGCGAATTTCAGCAATTATTATCCAATTAGTAGTTTCTTTCCTCTTCCTTTTTTTCTTTCTTTCCCTTTTTTATTGTTTGATTAACTTCCTGAGGCCACAGTGTCACAAGCTGGAAAAAATAAATCAATCACTGGGTACTCCATACTGGTGAACTTTTGCCATAGCTAAGCTATGTAAATAACTATAAATCAACTGGATAAGAGTAGCTCATTGAAAATATACTTGGAAAAAACAAAATTATTATTAGAATCCCAAATATGTCTGTCTATATTTCTGAGATGAGCTATTGTAACTATTTACATTGTTCGGACTATTGTCCTCATATTTATTGTCATATTCACAACATTCGGTTCGAAATTCCAACGTATATCACCTGAAGAAGGTCGGATCGTACAACGGCCGAAACGTTGTGAATATGACAATAAAGATGAGGACAATAGTCCGAATATTGTAAATACTGTAAATGATCCCAAATATGATTCGGTTTTCAATAACCCACAAAAGCCGTAAAAAACAAATTAATCAATCAATACACTAATAATAGAACTTTAAACGTAAAACCAAGAAAAGGAAGTCAAACGCAAAAATGTAGGTTTAGGTAAATAATAAGTACTCTTAAGTACTGGTTGTTATAAAACAAGAATTGTAGACTTGAGATTGCAACAATGAAAGGATAAATAGGGATTTTGTTTGTCAACGTTGAATTTATAAAACAAATAAACTTATTTACACTACATGAGAACAACGTTTTAATCCACTAGGCTACTGTTCCGTAGGACTTGGAGCCTTAAACCTAACCTGCCTGCTGATGAGTGCTGGTGCTTTTCATGCTTGACTGTACTCTCTGAAGGTATTTCACTTTTGTTATTGTTGTTGTGGTTGAAGATTTGCTGTCTGTGGTCTTTCTTTCTTAACTTAATTTTCTTAGCTTAGTGGATTAAAGTGTTGGTTCGTGAATTTGGTAACATAGTTCAATCCCTTGGCCGGGTAGTGTGTACTTGAATTCGGTGGAAACAGAGTGAGCAATAACTGAACAGTACAAAAAAAGAAGAACTATACGAGATATCCCTAGGCATGGGCAATAGAACGAGAACAGTCTACTCTGTAGATTAAATAAAGGGCTCAGTTCAGAATTCGCTGTAGGTTACCCGAATTGAAATAGCCCTGATGAAGGCTGGAAGGCACAACGGCTAAAACGTTGTGATGATAACAACAACAAAAATAAGGACAATAGTCCGCATGATTATAATGATAATCCGTAATCCCAGAAAATCAGACATAAATTATTGTAGACTTTTGTAAGAGACTTGAGAATGCAACAATGAAATTATAGTTGAGTAGGAGTTTTGTTTGTCAATATTGAATTTATAAAACAAATAAACTTAAATAGTGTAATTCATTTACATGTTTGCAACACATGTGTGTGTTGATATTTGTGTAAATTTTGAAGAATAGAACTTCGTATCTGAAGTGGGTAATTTGTAAGAAAAAAATTAAATAAGTTTTAGAGGTTCTGAAAATGACGTTGCTGTTGTCATCAGTTTTCAACTCGGTATCTATGCTGACGGCACAACTATTTACTCCTGTCTTAATACTAAGTGTGTTCGGTTCGTTAAAGTCAAATTAACTGCTGATCTAAAGAATGACCTAAAATCTGTTGTTAAATGGGGCAAGCAGTGGCTTGTTAATTTTAACGCCTCAAAAACGTAACTAAGAGAACCCTTTTACCTTCCATCAGTAAGACTGATGCTAACCTCCACGACTTATTGCGCCTTCTCAGACAAATGTTTTCAGCTGTCATGAAGTAGAAAGAGTATATGGACTCAATTGCTAAGTCTGTTAGTTCACTATGACGTGTTAAACAATTTTTCTTGCCAGAATCTATCTTAAATATTTATAAGTCTACCACTCGTCTGGTGCTCCTGCTATATATTTAGAAATTCTTGATAAAATTAAAAGAAGAATTTACACTGTCTCGACCTGGCATTTCGGCTTCAGTCTCTCTCCCACGCCGTAACGTAGATTCTCTGTGTCTTTTTAAATACTTTCATGTTAATTGTTCTGATGAACTTTCCTTAGATTTTATGAATTTAAACGCAGTACTAGATTGGTGGCAAAGTCTTACTATTTTACAGTAGAAATTGCTAGATAGATGTAACCGTAAGTTCTATGCTAACAGTTTCTTCTGTCGCACTTCTTGCTTGTAGAACCTTCTTCCGGCTTCTTACTTCCCAATCAACTTTAATCTTTAAAAATTTAAATGCGATATCAATCGTTATTTTCTCTCTTCTTAATTCTTATTCCCTTATCTCTATTGTATCTTTATTCTCTATTTAATAGTAGTTTTTCTCATATCCTCTAAATCTCAGTAACCTCTTGCGTCTTAGTGGATTTATTGCCTTGCTTGTAATGAAATGATTAGAAAACAGATGATATTTTTACACCAACCTAATAAAAGTCCACACAAAAACAATAATATTCAAACTCATAATTTAATCCCTGCCGCTATATTGGCTGTTAGCTCCCGGCATACGATATACTGCGAAAAGTTTAGATTTTGTTGATGTTGCTGGCGTTTGTCAGTCGTTTGATGTTCCGCTGTTGGTTTATCATAAATGGATAAGAAGAGAAATAGCTCTATCGCGAAGTCAAGATGGCATTCTTGAGTAGACGGCTTACGGCTATAACACGTTGAAATACCGATTCTCGTCCGATCACCGAAGTTAAGCAACGTCAAGCCTAGCCAGTACCTAGATGAGTAACCGCTTAAGAATACCAAGTGCTGTAAGCTTGACCGTGAAGATGGTTTAATGGATAGCGACTCGGAATAAGAAATCAGAAAGTTGAGTGCCAATTTCCAGTTGGGTTCGTTATATTTCCCTCCTCTTGGGAAATTTATGAATCCTCTTCTTCTTCCTCAGTCATGGGTTAATTAGTAGGGCTTGTATCAGAAAATCAGTATCATCTCGAAAGAATTCTTACAATCTAAACATAATTTTTTGATCTAAATATCCTGATAAACCGTATAAAATAAATTAATCTTGTGTAGATTCCTCGTCGATTAGTTACTGCTGAAAAAAGGTTTTCTTTTTATAAACTTCATGAGGATCGTAAATTATTTTTTATTTACTTCAGATCAACTGTGATTGGTTAAAAAATATTTTATATCTACGTCTGCACCCGTCTTTATTTCTAGTGGCTTTATTTGGAGTTTGTTGCGGGAACGAGGAATGAGTAACCTGGAAAGCAGAACTTGTCACTGTTGTTGTTTCTGCTGAAGAGGTTAATTTCTTCTTCGCCTCAGCAAACGTAAATTCGATGAAAAGCAATACATCGTATTTTGGGTAAATAAATGTATAATTTATTTACATATATACAAAGCCAGCATACTACTTGTTGCTGTTGTAAAAGGCGACAGAGTGGGGAAGGAAGAAAGAAAGAGAAAGAATGTTGGTCATGGCTGTCGGCTGATGTTTTGTGAAGACGGCGGCGGCGGATGGATTAAAGTTGAGAAGTATCGAGTTCAATCTCAGTCTGATTACGGCATTCTTGACCAACCTCTGCGTGTTGACCTCTCAGTCGGATCTTTTTCTTTGTGTCTTTTGCGGCGTTGAATCAAGGAATTTATATCCATCGTATCGACTCCAAATCACAGTCTCTGTCTTTTAGCAGGAGTTATTTCTACTGGTCAATATATAAAGTTCATTTTTTTATCATTTAATACCGAAAACATGCGTCGAGCCATGAAGCGCAGAGACGCGTTTTCGCATTCTGCCTTGGGTCGTCGAGCAGTCAACATCCGGTTTAGTGTAAGAAACGCGACAAGTTACAGTGAAAACTTTGAATATCGACACAAAAGAATGAGCTAAAAGCTAAATGCTGTATTGTGATGTGTTTCACAATGCCATGAACAATGAAGAAGACTAGCAGATTTTTTTAAAAATGATATTGCGAATAGCAAATGTAATAAATTTCCTCACCGTATTGTTTTTCTCGATTTATTAAATTCACAGGAAAACTTTTGGGAATAGAGATAAGCAGTGCTTTGATTGGTCAAAAAGTTTGAATTAATTTTTATCTCGTGAACGAGAATATTGTTAAACTGTAATTTGAAATCTACAAAAGGGTGGATATAATTTACAATGAAATATGCTCCTAAGCTATCCCAATCTTTTATTTGTTTTATAGCAGATGTTAAATTTGAAGAAATAGTTGCAGCCGACGTTAATGCCGCAACGATGGTTGTGTTTGCAGAAGCAATTATTTTTGTAACAATGGAAGCTCGAGCAGATGTAAATTGGTTCTGGATATAATATCAAAGTAATAGTAGTAATTTGTAGAAAACATTTTTAAAAAATAATGTTTAAAATCTTCTTGTGTAGATATTGAAGAGAGGCAGTAGTTGGTTATCGATATTTTTTTCAATAAATTAGTAATAAAACGCTTCTATAAGTAATATTACACGTCAGTGATCGAGTGAGAAGAGGATGTAAAAAAGTGTTTTGTGCAAGAGAGACAAATACATCAAGTAAAATATTAATGATTCGCTAAGAAGGGATGGATGATATTAGTAAACAAACGGAAACGAAAAGGCAAAAAAAGCGAGAATGGCGTTGTCCTGCTGTGAAACAGTAGTTAGCAAACCAGTCTAGCAGGTTATTATTACTGCTGGGAGTTCAATCCTTACTGGGTTTTCTACATTTGTGGCTTTATGCTAGACAAAGCTATATTTTGTTTGGTGGGCGAGGTAGATTCATATTTGCCACTGGGGTCAGCAGTCAGTGTTCAAGCTGAGATATAAGCGCTGATTTCGTAGACAGACAATTCTTTCCTCTTGTACCCAATAAAATCTTCATGTTCCTCTGTTTGCTGAATTTATAATGCCAATAATAAGTGACCAGTTATCTCCCTTATATTTTTAGAAGGAGACTTTATTTCCTCAAACTATATACACGGGCATTACAAAATCATAAACAAAAATCTTTACCAAATAACGAAAACCACATCACTTGAACTCTTCCAACAGTAGTAACAATAAAAAGTGTTTCACATTTAACTAGAAGAAAAAATACTGACAAGCTGTTAACTTTCCACATTACCAATACAAAAAGAGTGTAAGGAAATTTCCATCGGTATTAAAACTACTATAACATTTAGTAGACTTGAAAAGTCCAATTTCCTGAAAAAGAGAGAAAATATTTTATAAATTTCAACCAACAGTAACACTAAATGTTCAGTCAATGAATACCGTTTTTTCCTGTAGGAAAGGTTTTCATCACTTCCATTCTATGACCCCAAGTAATAGGAACACACTAATTCAACTCAAAATTACGGTTAGTTTAAATTTAAATTTTAATCAATACGTAGATTATTATTTTTTTAATCAATCAAAACTTTTTGTTTCTATTAGAATTTAATTTGAGAACCACTACTATAATGTTTTATAAGTTCACGTTCTAGCCTCTTTTCTGATCTTTGCCCAAACTTTCACCCCTGCTTTCAAATCCGACTCCCAAGGCCTTGATCCTTATCAGAAATAAGAATATATTTCCTGACGAACGATAGAACTGGAAAATATAAAAAGGAATCTGACCATCCTTGCCCTGACCATGGTGCCATAAAGTCGGGGAGTAACGCTCACAACATGTCGGTCCCTTGCTTCCAAAAAAACATTTTCCAAACCTTTGACTCTTATTAGAGATAAGAATATATTTTTTGACGAATGAGAGGGCCGAGAAAGTGTATAGCAATTTTGGAGCGAAAAGTTCCAGATATTTCTGAGACTTCTAATCTCGATAAATGCGCCTCTTTGGCAGTGAGTACTTGACATCGTCTCAGGTCGGCAACAGAACACCAGACATCTTCGGAACCTGTTTCTACCTGCTGGGCTCTAAAGACAAAACGTCGGCCCTCTACTAAAAACTAATCGAGATCTGCTTCCTTGCACCTAGAAATTCCTGTCGTCGGCCTACGAATTCACTCAACTACAAAATTCGGATCTCCTAACAGTTTCCCCCACAAGAAGATCTCTGAAGAAATCTATTCAAGTGTTACTGTTAACCCTTAAGAATAATTTATTCGCTTAAAGAACTTTTAGATGCTCAGAGAAATATTTTGAGAAAGCTTTTTGTTATGGGACCTTACCCATAATAACATAATGGACTATTCCATACGTAATAAATACTGCGCCTCAAGAGGAAGCAAGGAGTTCCGTCTGAAGTCGAGCGACCGGCTGATCGGTTGAAATCTCTGCCTTCGGGCGCAGAGGAACCCGAACGAGGCTACGCCGAAGGGCGGGGTCTCTTTCGGGGAGGTAAACCGACCCTGAACCCGTTTATACGGGTTCAATGGGCATATTTTTGGCCGAGCCCACGGGCTCGGAGATCCCACGGGCTCGGAGATCCCACGTTAAACCGGCTTTGTGCCACATGATACCCTCAGGTGGGGGGGGGCTAAATACTGTTCCGTCTGAAGTCTCGAGTTCAGTCTGAAGTGAGGTCCATCAGGGGTCTGTCAGTCAGTCAGAGCGAGTCAGTCAGTCGAGTTAGAGGCAGTCCGAAACAGAGTCGTGTTCAGACAAGTAATACTAAACCTGATTGTTCGTACTAACACTTTCTACTTCTCTGTATATATTCCTGTTTGTAATATATCTGTGTTATTCTATATCCGTGTTCGAGTTCTTTTTTATTGGTTCTACCTTGGACTAACACCGTGGTACAAGGAACCGGACCATAACACTTTTATATGAACATTTTTCCTTATTTAAACGACTTTTCTTCTCCCTTTCTTTCTCTCGTATTTGTGTATATCTTTGTACCTTTTTTGTGTATGTAAATAAACATTTTTTTTCTTCTATGTCACACCTCGAGTAGGAGTTATACTTCCGCCTAAAAATTGTCCGCTCTAATCTTTTAAGCCGTTGTTGCTTTTATCGATTTTGTCACGTTTAACCATAACCCTTTCATGTGGGAAAGCCAGGACAAATTTGCCACATTTCGTCTACAGGACTCAACTTTGAAGCAGATTGTGTGTGTGTGTGTGTGTGTGTGTGTGTGTGTGTGTGTGTGTGTGTATATATTGGATCGGATTTCCTACATATTTCAACTGATTTCAACAAATTTTGCACAAAATCAATTTGAAAACACGATTAATCGCGAGAATGAAAGGGGGACAACTCATATTGAGTTATACTTATTATAAAACCCAGGTTGTTTTTGTGTGTGTGTGTTCGTTTATATATGGGATCGGATTTCCTATATTTTTCAACCAATTTCAACAAAGCTTCACTTTTTTTGGCAGGTAGTGTTTCTTATTGTTTTGCGCACTTTTTTCTTTATTTTTACATTCAGAATGCTTTAAAAATTCCATTTAAAAGACAATTGTTTATAATAAAATTCTATTCAATCGGTAGAGACTCATAACGATTGAAAACAATGTTTTTGTTTGAGTTTGGGTTTAACCAAATCTTTAAAAAAATCAAAACAAAAAAAAACAAAAGCTAATTAAGACATGCGTGTCCGTCAACCTTAAACAATAATCTTTGTCATTTTTTATTTTTCAGTCTTTATGATGGTCGATACTTGATCTATCTCTTACTGTTATATCCCCGGGCAACGCCGGGCTCTACTGCTAATCATTAATAAATTCTGTCGGCCCGGATCTTTCTACACTTGGCGCACGCAATTGGTTATATCTCAGCTCAAGTTTTCCTTCTTATTGCAATGACTGATTATTAACAGTTCTTCTTTTATGTTCCAAGTCGCTTCAGAAAGTGGGCGATTGTGACTCT